GACCCCTACCCATCCTGGGGGTGGCGGGTGACCCCTACCCATCCTGTGGGTGTGGCAGGTGACCCCTACCCATCCTGTGGGTGTGGCAGGTGACCCCTACCCATCCTGGGAGGGTGGCAGGTGACCCCTACCCATCCTGTGGGTGTGGCAGGTGACCCCTACCCATCCTGGGGGTGACAGGTGACCCCTACCCATCCTGTGGGTGTGGCAGGTGACCCTACCCATCCTGTGGGTGTGGCAGGTGACCCCTACCCATCCTGTGGGTGTGGCAGGTGACCCCTACCCATCCTGGGAGGGTGGCAGGTGACCCCTACCCATCCTGTGGGTGTGGCAGGTGACCCCTACCCATCCTGGGGGTGGCGGGTGACCCCTACCCATCCTGTGGGTGTGGCAGGTGACCCCTACCCATCCTGGGAAGGTGGCAGGTGACCCCTACCCATCCTGGGGGGTGGCAGGTGACCCCTACCCATCCTGGGAGGGTGGCAGGTGACCCCTACCCATCCTGTGGGTGTGGCAGGTGACCCCTACCCATCCTGGGGGTGACAGGTGACCCCTACCCATCCTGTGGGTGTGGCAGGTGACCCTACCCATCCTGTGGGTGTGGCAGGTGACCCCTACCCATCCTGGGAGGGTGGCAGGTGACCCCTACCCATCCTGTGGGTGTGGCAGGTGACCCCTACCCATCCTGGGAGGGTGGCAGGTGACCCCTACCCATCCTGGGGGGTGGCAGGTGACCCCTACCCATCCTGGGGGTGGCGGGTGACCCCGTATCCATCCTGGGGGGTGGCAGGTGACCCCTACCCATCCTGTGGGGTGGCGGGTGACCCCGTATCCATCCTGTGGTGGGAAGTGGAGACGGTTGAAGTTTAGTGTATGTGAACAATAAATGACTCAACAACCGACCCACGTTACCCTAAACTGAGCTCCTCACATCAGAGGCACTGTTCAAATAACCTATTATGTCTTGCGTAATGTCTAGACCTCTCCTGGTTATACTACAACAGATAATAGCACATAAAAATATGCTGGTTGTACTTGTCATATCTATTAATGTGACTTCCTCTGGCCTCTGACCCTCGTATCTCTGAGAGCTGTAATTAACTGATGTGATTTATCAGTTAATTATAATTAACTTATTAAAAAGTGTGATTTTTTTTTGTTCTGAATCATCATCTCGTGTGTGGGGGGTGGGGGTGGGGGGGGGGTACACTTACAGCAGGTATACTGAGGTACCTGTGTGGTGAGGTAAGGTACACTGTGGTACCTGTGTGGTGAGGTAAGGTACACTGAGGTAACTGATGTAGTAAGGTAAGGTACACTTAACACACTGAGACTGAGGTAACTCCAGGGGGCAAAGCCAGATTAGGTCAATATGGAGAAGCTGTTACCCATGCAGCAGGTCCCCCTTCTCCACGATGCTGAAGTTGCCCAATGGAAAGGCAAACGCCAGTACGCTTAGTTCCAGCGCCGTCGCAGGAGCTGCCAGAACGAGGGTGAAGTCAACAACGAACTGCCTTAGGGGCTCCAATTCCGGATTCTTCCTCGTGATTGACTCCTGAAGCCCGACCCAAAAGTGGGAATGGTCGCGAGGGAGCGGAGGTTTGTAGTTAGGTTCACCTAGCAATTTACATAACCTAATAATTACACCCAACCACTTGGACTGGTGGGTACAGTGATGGGTTCCCATCTTGCAGGTCGGCGTTCGATACTCGATGGTCCAAGGGGTTGGGCACTGTTACTTACTCCTTGTAATATTCCAGATCCTTGTTCCTTCATCCCTTCCAAGTGCTAATTTATATTCGTATTGGCTGGGCGCTGTCTCCTTACAATTACTTTACCCTACCTATAATTCGTTGTTTCTGGGACAGGAAGCCTATGAATATATACTTCAGTCATGTATCAAGGTTCCACTACTGGTATAGTGAGGTAACTGATTGGACGGTAAAGCGATGGTCTCGCTTCGTGCAGGTCGGAGTTCAATCCCCGACTACCCCAAGTGATTGGGCACCATTCATTTCCCCCCGTCCCATCTCAAATCCTTATGCTGACCACTTCCCAGTGCTATATAGTGGTAATGGCTTGACGCTTTCCCTTGATAATTCACTTCCCTTCCTCAGAAGGCAAGATAGTCACCTGTCGTCTCCTTAATGTCACCTGTCGTCACCTTAATGTCACCTTAATGTCACCTGTCGTCACCTTAATGTCACCTGGCGACACAAATCATTTCAGAACTAAATTAACTCTGGTATCAGACACGGTTGAGGGCCACAGGGTTAACAACACTGCAAACTTGGCATGACAGGACGGATCTTATCGAAACCTTTAAAATACGGAACAATTTGGAGGATGTTGAGCCCGAAAAGTTCGTCAAAAGGTCAGATATTCTACATATTTAAAACTCTGAACTGTAATGTCAATCCTGACTTTAAACACTTCCTTGAAGGTTGTAATAAAACCCATGGGCACCACACCAGAAATAAATCTCTCTTTGATATCCCCAGTCAAACTCTAATTACTCATTACTCCTCTAATTACTCAACACAATTCTGCCATTAGATCAATAACACACTCTGGCCCCAGACAACACTCGGTGCCCTTACTTAAATCTTTGAATATGTTAGATATTAAGTCACTGCACATCCTCTCAAGATTGATTGATTGATAAAGATTAAGCCACCCAAGAGGTGGCACGGGCATGAATAGCCCGTAAGTGGTGGCCCTTTTGAGCCATTTCCAGTATCAAAAGATGATACTGGAGATCTGTGGAGGCGCAACTGCACCCTGCGTGACGGAAGATGTCTCCCGGACCAAATGGTGATCCTCTCAAGTGTACTCTGTATATTTAAAACTCTGAACTGTAATGTCAATCCTGACCTTAAACGGTTCCTAGAAGGTTGTAACAGAACCCATGGGCACCACACCAGAAACAAATACCTATTTGATATTCCAAGAGTGCGACTTAACCAAACTAGAAATGTTCTACAATATCAAGGGACCCAGAATGGGGAATGACCTTCCCAATCACGTCAAAGGCTGTACCTCTCTCAACCAGTTTAAGAGGAAAACTAAGTATACTACCTAATAAACTCCATGTAATTACCCCCTAAATGTCAGCCCATGTCTTGTTATTTTCAAACAATACTGTTTGTTGACCAACTTGTAAAATTGCTGATTTCTGCCACGTTCCCCCGCCCCCCTTTTCTTTTCCTTTTTCAAAACAATTTATACTCTAATCTCTACTAGTATCAAGCTTTAGCCTAAGTGTTTTTTTTTCCCACACCTTGCCCGAAACGCTGTGCGTATTAGTAGCTTTAGCCAGCAGACTTTAAGACTATGGTTCTTGAAGGAAAAAAGAACCAGACAAATCCTCATCTGCTACGTAACATTGCACAGATGCATATAGAAGCAAACTTGGCATCCGACAGCTTCACATACTTCACAGGTGGATCAGTAGACCAGGAGGGACAAGAAACCGGAGCTGCAGTTAAAGCAGGAAACTCTGTAAATAGTTGGAGACTCTCAAATGGGTGTTCGGGTATTGTATGTACTATTGTATGATACTGTATTGTATCCTCTATCTATAAATTCAACATTATGTTTGTAACTCATCTTCTATATATGTACTTCTACCTGAATAAATATTTTTATTTTTGTTTTTTTTTGAGATGTAACACAAACAAGGAGCAATGGTTTCAAGCTCAACACGCCACAATGTTGGACTGAGAACAGGAGATGCTTTTTCACCCATAGGGTTATAAACCCATGGAACCGCCTACCCGCCGAAATCGCAAATGCCTAAACTGTTAAATATCAAAATCCTGTTTGAAAAAAGTAATCAGGGCAAAGGGGGGGGGGGGACCTTTGACAAAGCGCCGGCATCCTGTCCTTGACGCTGCCACTTGAGTATTAGTGGTTTTCAGGTAATTAAATAACACCCTCCAGAGGTCGATAACTTTTAACCCAAACATCAAAACCATTCCGTACAGTACAGACTAAATTTTGCCCGGGTTTAAAATAGTAAACACAAAATATTAGGCTAAACTACCTTTTATTTTCTTGAAGGTGTATGCAAGAAGGGCGTCATTTTAGCGTTGGGAATAATTAATGTCTATCGACCGCAGGAGGATCGTCTAAGCCGCCATCACAATGACCCAATTGTGACACTAGCTCTCCACATATGTCAGTTGCTTGATTTAGAACCTGTACTTGTGGTCGATCTCGAACCCATTGTTGATGTGACGACTTATACTGAATTTTGTGACTAACTCATCAAGATTGTAACTTGCTTAGCTAAATGAATTGTGGGGTTCAGTCCCTGAGCCCATTATGTGCCTCTGTAACCCGTTCCACTACTGCCCACAAGATGGGTATGGGGTGCATAATAAATGAACTAAACTAACTAAATGACCCATTTAAGCTCAATGAATCATCAGGACGAGAATTTGGTCATTTGATCGTTACCAATGATGCGTCTGCAGACTATGAGTCACAATAACGGGGCTGAAGATATTGTGACCAAACCACACGTCAGAAAATGAACAAAACGACGACGTTTTGGTCCGTCTTGGACCATTATCAAGTAGTGATAATGGTCCAGGACGGACCGAAACGTCGCCGTTTCTTTATTTTCTGACGTGTTTGGACATCGACTTATAGCCTAAGTTTCCCTATAGAAGTTAAATAGGTTCCCGGGAATCAGGCAACTGTTGTGGATCGCATTCTGCAGAAGGTAAGTAGTTGGTCTAGGATAATCTTGAAAGGCCTAACAGGTGTTCTTCCAGCGAGCACAATAACTATTGCAGTAAAACATGAAAGTTATTCTCAACTATGTTAGTTATTAAGAAGAAAGTACACTGCTCCCATCCCAAATAGGCATATGACAGAGAAAACGTGTGTAGGGGTCAGGAAGAGTGAGGTGGATCACTGGGTACCGGACCACCGCGGGTATGGCCTAATACCCAGAGTGTGGTAGTGAGCGGGTAGTGCGCGGGTCCAAAGGTTTTCCCGCCCCGCCGCCGCCATAAGGTCTTCCCGCGCCTCGCCCAGGCCAGTGTAGCGCGCGCCCGCCAACTGTCAGTAGCTCCTCCATACTGCACCTCCTGCCACACTGTGTAAGTTAACTGTTACTGAGGGATCGTATCTTGACGTGTTCTATAGTGATGAACACCTTCGTGTGCACTTGCTGTCCACAGGTCTTAAAGTGGACGACATTTACCCGAGGGGTAACTATATATGAAGAAAGGTGAAGCAATTAGTGTATTCATAAAGACTTGTGTGTTTAGGAATGATTATCTCGAGCGAGGTGACAATAATGAGATCACATCCTCGTGCGACAGCTCTCTTAAACCACCAAAATGAATCTCCTTTTCCATATTCCCATAATATTTTGGGTAGAGATATTAGTAAAAGTCGAGAACTTGTACAAAGAAATCACGTTAACATGATATCTGATCAATGAGATAATCAGTAGAAGCTATGATGAGGAGTCAGACCTGCACAATGGGTTCTCTCAAGCACACGCCATAAGCCACTTTTCTATGCTATGCTCAAAAGCAGTACACCCTTTTGATTGTTGCCGCCGGAGCCGGCTAGTTTATTGTGCACCCCATACCCATGCTGTGAGCGGTAGCGCAAAAGCATTACAGAGGGCACAAAAGGTCTTTATCAGACCTCATCTTAGATTATTTCATAAACAATTTCATCTATCCTTCACACCTTATAGTTACAATGTCAGCTAGTTACAGAGAAAGTGCTATTTCAAGAGCTACATATTTACAGTAAGTCATCGTACATTAATGGTAGGTCTTGTCGCTAATACATAATAGTTTGATCAATGGGGACATTACAGAGTCATAGGGGAGCTTCTGTTTATTATTAGTCCTCACAATACACTACTTGTTTCTTAATCTCATATGTCGTTTATCTACTGGAAGCGACATATGGATACAGTGCAAGGATTTCAGGTAATTTATCCATGGTAATAAGATAGGTTGCCATATCATACAGAGTGAGCTTAGATTTATCTCTAAATGGCTCAATTTTACAACAATCCAAGATATAGTGTTCGAGTGTGTGTGTCCCTGTCTTTGTCCACACACTTTACACTTTACTTCATCTAGATCCCTATATAAGCCGAACTGCCAGAGATACTTGTAGCCAAGTCTTATACGAGCTGTAACAATATCTGTTAGTCTACTGACTTTGTTACTTGCCCCATACACATGTTTTACTTCACACATTTCATTGTGATGAACAATGGACCTGCTAGTTCCAGTTTGCACTGTTCTACTTTCTTCAAATTCATCCAGGAGTTCTAGTCTAATGACACTTTTAAGGGACCTGTGCAGGCGAAGGGACCTATTTAAGGGACCTATTTGATAACTCAAGATTCCGGTCAATACTGTCTTTATTTACTGCAGCCTTAGCAAGGGCGTCAACTTTGTCATGTTCCTGCATGCCAATGTGAGAAGGAATCCACAACATTTTGATATTTACCCTCTTGCTAAGTATTCTTATATATCTACGTCTAGCTTCCAAGACAAGCACGTTATTACTTGATTGCAAACTGTTTATTGCTCGTAGTGAGGATAGGGAGACAGAAATAATTAAGCTGTCTACTTCAGTGTTGTCAATAATTTCGAGTGCTACTAGTATTGCTACCAACTCGGCTTGCATTGTGGACGCCCAGTTACTAATTCGGACACAAGATGGGTATGGGGTGCATAATAAATGAACTAAACTAAAACTTTGAATTGTGCTGCCATCGGGCTGGGATTCAACATATCCTGGAGGGGTTCCTGAGGTATCCATTGAAGCCAAGCCAGGGATTCACACATTGCTCCCCCATGCGCTCTGACTGGTATAGTTGAATTATTTCAAATTGAAAAAACAGTTTAGCATTAATATATATATATATATATATATATATATATATATATATATATATATATATATATATATATATATATATATATATATATATATATATATATATATATATATATATATATATATATATATATATATATATGTCGTACCTAGTAGCCAGAACGCACTTCTGGGCCTACTATGCAAGGCCCGATTTGCCTAATAAGCCAAGTTTTCCTGAATTAATATATTTTCTCTAATTTTTTTCTTATGAAATGATAAAGCTACCCATTTCATTATGTATGAGGTCATTTTTTTTATTGGAGTTAAAATTAACGTAGATATATGACCGAACCTAACCAACCCTACCTAACCTAACCTAACCTATCTTTATAGGTTAGGTTAGGTTAGGTAGCCGAAGAAGATAGGTTAGGTTAGGTTAGGTAGGTTAGGTAGTCGAAAAACAATTAATTCATGAAAACTTGGCTTATTAGGCAAATCGGGCCTTGCATAGTAGGCTGACAAGTGCGTTCTGGCTACTAGGTACGACATATATATATATATATATATATATATATATATATATATATATATATATATATATATATATATATATATATATGCGTGTAATTCACAAAAAATAAACACGTAATTAAAAATGTGACAGTGGCAGACCATGGAGGAAAATTGAAACAGGAATTTCCTTAAGTACTATCGCATATTAATACATCTTCTGAAGGAGTGGTTTTACAGGTCAAGTATTGCACATATATAGGCAGGAGAGAATGGTGGAGTGAAGTGAGGTATAATAACAAATGAATGGAATTAGGTGGACACAAATATGAGCCGCACAAGAATTGCAGAAGGCCTATTGGCCCATACGATGCAGCTCCTATTCGTACCCACCAACAGGCCCACACATGGATAATAATAGCATAAGATAGTAAATATTTACAATGAATTAATGAGACAAAAGTGTTCCAATGATCCTACTCAAATCGCCCCTAATTGATCTATTAAAAATTGGATCTAAGTTATATAAACCACTGCTAATGTTCAAATTACTTTCTTTTGTAACCTGTATCAAAGCAGATTCAATTATGTTCCAGTTATAGGTGCTTTTACAATTCGTTATTGAAGAAGTCATCTCCCAATCAATTTGGTGAGCATCTTCTGACAGATGAACAAACAAAGCATTAGACAATTGGTCATGTCTTACAGAGTATTTATGTTGCGAAATTCTACATTTCAAATCTTTAGATGTTCGCCCAACATAGAACTTATTACAGTCTTTACAAGGTATTTTATAAAGATACAATTATCACTACGAGGGCTGTTTCTAACTAATAGCTTACCAACAGTATTTTCGTAGCTAAACAACACATGCATATCAAAACGTTTCAAGGCCTTGACAATATTCTCAAACCCAGAGAAATATGGTAAACATAACACATTCTTTGGGCGAATTCTTTCACTGCATATATTATTATAATATGTACGACGTGCTTTGCTACGGCAAACTTCCAAAAAACTCAGTGGGTAACAAAGCTTGACACCAATCGAATCAATAGATGAAGAGTTTAAGAATATTGATTCGATTGGTCTCAAGCTTTGTCACCCACTGAGTTTTTTGGAAGTTTGCCGTAGCAAAGCACGAATCAGATCTTTTACCTGAATTTACCCTGCGGGCCACTATCTCTCTAGTGGCCCCCCGACGAATTGTGCGCCCCCCATACAAATCCTGTGTGTGGTGTTAGTGAATCCCATATCAACCCTTCACCTGAATTTACCCAAAGGCCACCTTCTCTCGGGTGGCCTCGACGGCGCCAGGAAGTCGGCGTTTTGTCAAAGGTCCTCCATTTTTCCTGTTAATTTTTTCCAGCTGGAATTTAAATTGAAGTAATGTCAGAATTTACGCCTTCGGCGGGTAGGCGGTTCCATGAGTTTATAACCCAGTGAGTGAAAAGCATCTGTTCTCAGTCCTACATTTTGGCTTGTTGAGCTTGAAATCGTTGCTCCTCGTTCGTGTTACATCTGACTTTTGAAGCAGTGATCTAGATTAATGTCCTCCAACTTGTTCAGTATTTTAAAAGTTTGTATGACATCCGCCTTGCCATGCCTGGTTTGTAGTGTTGTTAGCCCTGTGGTCCTCAACCACTCCTGGTGTGAGAGTTTATCGAGTTCTCTGATGATTTTTGCTGCTCTGTGTTGAACTTTCCCCTCAAAGGAGATATGTGCTACTGAAGATAAGGTCTCCATGCTTGGATACAAGAGTATAAGACACTTGTACAGTTCAATAATTATCTTACTTTCCTTGAAGTTAAAGGTTTGACTATTCCTAGAGTTTTTTTTTTGTTCTTTGTTTCTTACAGCAATTCCCACTTGTGCAAGTGGGAATTGGGAAATGGGAAAATGCAATGCAGGTCCTGCATTACATGCAAGGTCATGCATTTTTCAGTTTTTAGAAGCATTTGTCAGTGTTGCGACCACTTGTGGAGCTCACGTAGTTCTCTTAGTAAAGCCTCGATATGTTCTTCATCTCTGTTGTTACTACGTGTGGGCTCTACCACGTGTGGGCTCTACCACGTGTGGGCTCTACCACGTGTGGGCTCTACCACATGTGGGCTCTACCACATGTGGTCTCTACCACATGTGGTCTCTACCACATGTGGACTCAACCACATGTGGGCTCTACCACATGTGGGCTCTACCACGTGTGGGCTCTACCACGTGTGGGCTCTACCACGTGTGGGCTCTACCACGTGTGGGCTCTACCACGTGTGGGCTCTACCACGTGTGGGCTCTACCACGTGTGGGCTCTACCACGTGTGGGCTCTACCACATGTGGGCTCTTCACCATGTCCTAAAGGTAAGGGAAGTACTATGCCTAAAGCCACCAATACGCACAGATCTTAATGCCATATATCTTAGTGTCACCTGGAAATTTGATGACGTAGTAGGTAATGTTGCTGTATCATTGCTGAATATGACGCAAAAGGACCGCTGTGGTACCCCGCTCACCACATTTCTCCAGTTAGATTCATTTCCATTTAGCACGATCCTTTCCTTTCTTTACTTTAACCATTTTTTTAATTCATTCTAGTATTCTATTTATTCCATGTGCTTGAAATTTCATTGCCAGTCTCTTGTGGTACCTTATCAAAAGCTTTAGGGAAGTCTAAATGTACTGCGGCTACTGGTAGTCTTTTGTCTGAATAGCTGGTTAATTACCTTTTCCAAAAATATTGCTTTGGTTATACTAGGCTGAGATTATCAGCGATTCCCTCCCAGAAGATTTTCTCCATAGGCTTGCAGATATGTGAGCTCAAGCTGAGCAGTCGGTAATATAGTTTTTTTTTTTTGAGATATATACAAGAGTTGTTACATTCTTGTAGAGCCACTAGTACGCGTAGAGCCACTAGTACTTGTAGAGCCACTAGTACGCGTAGAGCCACTAGTACTTGTAGAGCCACTAGTACTTGTAGAGCCACTAGTACTTGTAGAGCCACTAGTACTTGTAGAGCCACTAGTACGCGTAGAGCCACTAGTACGCGTAGAGCCACTAGTACTTGTAGAGCCACTAGTACTTGTAGAGCCACTAGTACTTGTAGAGCCACTAGTACGCGTAGAGCCACTAGTACGCGTAGAGCCACTAGTACTTGTAGAGCCACTAGTACGCGTAGCGTTTCGGGCAAGTCCTTAATCCTATGGTCCCTGGAATACGATCCCCTGCCGCGAAGAATCGTTTTTTCATCCAAGTACACATTTTACTGTTGCGTTAAACAGAGGCTACAGTTAAGGAATTGCGCCCAGTAAATCCTCCCTGGCCAGGATACGAACCCATGACATAGCGCTCGCGGAACGCCAGGCGAGTGTCTTACCACTACACCACGGAGACTAGTGTTCTACTGAGCTCTTTCTGAATTATTCGAGGATAGGGGTGACATTTACAAATTTCTAATCTAGGAGGGGAAACTGTCCCTTGGGTCAGAGATTTTCCGAAAAAAGAGTTTTAGAGGTAGGCATAGTTTATCTGCCAGTTTCTTCATGACTTAGGATTGAATTCCATCTACACTTGGGACCTCTGAATCCTTTAATTTGTCAACAGTGTTCCTGATTAGGTCGCACGTTATGGGACGATCCCTTGATGCGTTCCCTGGTTCAAGGACTCGTGTGGTTATGGGCTGTCTAATCTTTGTGGCGTAAACACTCATGTAATATATGTATTCATAGCGTCGGCTGCCAATCTACCGTCAAATATAACTTGGATGGTGTTATCTTTTAAGGGTCATACCGATTTTTTGTCTCAGTTTTACTTCTTGCCTAAGCAAGAAAAGACTAACATTTCTTATTGCTTTGAGCAAGTGATTTTTCGTGATCAACAAGTTGAACAAGTTCAGTGATGATCTTTTTAAAACTTTCCCATGATGCTTCCATGTCTTTTGATCTCTTGATCTATTAGTTCCTGACAGGAGAGAAAACTTGTGTAGGGGTCAGGAAGAGTGAGGTGGATCACTGGGTACCGGACCACCGCGGGTATGGCCTAATACCCAGAGTGTGGTAGTGAGCGGGTAGTGCGCGGGTCCAAAGGTTTCCCGCCCCGCCGCCGCCATAAGGTCTTCCCGCGCCTCGCCCAGGCCAGTGTAGCGCGCGCCCGCCAACTGTCAGTAGCTCCTCCATACTGCACCTCCTGCCACACTGTGTAAGTTAACTGTTACTGAGGGATCGTATCTTGACGTGTTCTATAGTGATGAACACCTTCGTGTGCACTTGCTGTCCACAGGTCTTAAAGTGGACGACATTTACCCGAGGGGTAACTATATATGAAGAAAGGTGAAGCAATTAGTGTATTCATAAAGACTTGTGTGTTTTGGAATGATTATCTCGAGCGAGGTGACAATAATGAGATCACATCCTCGTGCGACAGCTCTCTTAAACCACCAAAATGCACACCAAAATGAATTTTCTTTGTCCATATTCAGGCGTTTTGCAATTCCTCTCTCGTTCGACGATAGCCTCGTCGAGGGCAGTCTGGATAGTTATCGTCCTGGATCTCGGTTTTGTTTGACTGTTGGCGCCGGAGGCGGCTAGTTTATTGTGCACCCCATACTCATCCTGTGAGCGGTAGCGCAAAAAAGCATTACAGAGGGCACACAAAACGTGTTTATCAGACCTCATCTTAGATTATTACACTGGGTTTGTGTAATTGTATCCTGTCTTAGGATAGTGAAGGAACCGTGAAACGGCGCGCTTCTCCAACACCTGTCTTGATCAGTCTAGCCCACTACAGATGTTGGCACAAGGTCTAGAATGTTGTTACCATGCACGTGTGGGCTCTATCACATGCTATTACCACATGTGGGGCTCTACCACATGCTGTTACCAAGTGTGGGGCTCTACCACATGTGGACTCTACCACATACTGTTACCACATGTGGGGCTCTACCACATCCTGTTACCACGTGTGGGGCTCTACCACATGTGGACTCTACCACATACTGTTACTACATGTGGGGCTCTACCACATGTGGGGCTCTACCACATGCTGTTACCACATGTGGGGCTCTACCACATGCTGTTACCACGTGTGGGGCTCTACCACATGCTGTTACCACGTGTGGGGCTCTACCACATGTGGGTTCTACCACATGTGGGCTCTACCACATGTGGGCTCTACCACATGTGGGCTCTACCACATGTGGGCTCTACCACATGTGGGCTCTACCACATGTGGGCTCTACCACATGTGGGCTCTACCACATGTAGGCTCTACCACATGTGGGCTCTACCACATGTGGGCTCTACCACATGTGGTCTCTACCACATGCTGTGGGAGATACCAGTCCTGTACCAGGTCAACAAAATATTCTCCCGCTGCTTGTGACTCCTAGATGCACAGGTTTCGTAAGAGGTTGAGTAAGATGCCTGTGCATCCCGGCCCAGCTGGTCTTCGGTATGTTGCACTGCAACATACCGAAGTATGTAGTAGTGGTTGCAGTGCATACCTCTTGCACTGCAACATTTGTCTTCCTGGTTAAACACTTTCATATGTAACCTGAAGTGGATCATGCAGGTCAACAGTTAACAATCAATTGATAATTACCATTGTCATTAAAGTGATAATGATCACAACAGTCTGAGACTGATAGTGAGGAAGAGACACTTGTGTTGCCAGCTGAGTGTGTTGCTAGGTGCCTGACACCAGCTGGGTGTGTTGCTAGGGGCCTGACACCAGCTGGGTGTGTTGCTAGGGGCCTGACACCAGCTGAGTGTGTTGCTAGGGACCTGACACCAGCTGAGTGTGTTGCTAGGGGCCTGACACCAGCTGAGTGTGTTGCTAGGGGTCTGACACTAGCTGAGTGTGTTGCTAGGGGCCTGACACCTGCTGAGTGTGTTGCTAGGGGCCTGACACCAACTGGGTGTGTTGCTAGGGGCCTGACACCAGCTGGGCTAGGGACCTGACACCAGCTGACCTGACACCAGCTGGGTGTGTTGCTAGGTGCCTGACACCAGCTGGGTGTGTTGCTAGGGACCTGACACCAGCTGGGTGTGTTGCTAGGTGCCTGACACCAGCTGGGTGTGTTGCTAGGGGCCTGACACCAGCTGGGTGTGTTGCTAGGTGCCTGACACCAGCTGGGTGTGTTGCTAGGGGCCTGACACCAGCTGCTAGGGACCTGACACCAGCTGGGTGTGTTGCTAGGTGCCTGACACCAGCTGGGTGTGTTGCTAGGGACCCTGACACTAGCTGAGTGTGTTGCTAGGGGTCTGACACCAGCTGGGTGTGTTGCTAGGGGCCTGACACCAGCTGAGTGTGTTGCTAGGTGCCTGACACCAGCTGGGTGTGTTGCTAGGGGCCTGACACCAGCTGAGTGTGTTGCTAGGGGCCTGACACCAGCTGAGTGTGTTGCTAGGGGCCTGACACCAGCTGGGTGTGTTGCTAGGGGCCTGACACCAGCTGGGTGTGTTGCTAGGGGCCTGACACCAGCTGGTGTGTTGCTATATATATATAGGGGCCTGACACCAGCTGAGTGTGTTGCTAGGTGACCTGACACCAGCTGAGTGTGTTGCTAGGGACCTGACACCAGCTGAGTGTGCTGACACCAGCTGGGTGTGTTGCTAGGGGCCTGACACCAGCTGGGTGTGTTGCTAAGGACCTGACACCAGCTGGGTGTGTTGCTAGGGGCCTGACACCAGCTGGGTGTGTTGCTAGGTGCCTGACACCAGCTGGGTGTGTTGCTAGGGACCTGACACCAGCTGGGTGTGTTGCTAGGTGCCTGACACCAGCTGGGTGTGTTGCTAGGGGCCTGACACCAGCTGGGTGTGTGGCTAGGTGCCTGACACCAGCTGGGTGTGTTGCTAGGGGCCTGACACCAGCTGGGTGTGTTGCTAGGTGCCTGAAACCAACTGGGTGTGTTGCTAGGTGCCTGACACCAGCTGGGTGTGTTGCTAGGGGTCTGACACCAGCTGGGTGTGTTGCTAGGTGCCTGACACCAGCTGGGTGTGTTGCTAGGTGCCTGACACCAGCTGGGTGTGTTGCTAGGGGCCTGACACCAGCTGGGTGTGTTGCTAGGGACCTGACACCAGCTGGGTGTGTTGCTAGGTGCCTGACACCAGCTGGGTGTGTTGCTAGGTGCCTGACACCAGCTGGGTGTGTTGTTAGGGGCCTGACACCAGCTGGGTGTGTTGCTAGGGGCCTGACACCAGCTGAGTGTGTTGCTAGGTGCCTGACACCAGCTGGGTGTGTTGTTAGGGGCCTGACACCAGCTGAGTGTGTTGCTAGGGGCCTGACACCAGCTGGGTGTGTTGCTAGGGGCCTGACACCAGCTGAGTGTGTTGCTAGGGGCCTGACACCAGCTGGGTGTGTTGCTAGGGGCCTGACACCAGCTGAGTGTGTTGCTATATATATATAGGGGCCTGACACCAGCTGAGTGTGTTGCTAGGTGCCTGACACCAGCTGGGTGTGTTGCTATGTGCCTGAAACCAGCTGGGTGTGTTGCTAGGGGCCTGACACCAGCTGAGTGTGTTCCTAGGTGCCTGACACCAGCTGGGTGTGTTGCTAGGGGCCTGACACCAGCTGGGTGTGTTGCTAAGGACCTGACACCAGCTGGGTGTGTTGCTAGGTGCCTGACACCAGCTGGGTGTGTTGCTAGGTGCCTGACACCAGCTGGGTGTGTTGCTAGGGACCTGACACCAGCTGGGTGTGTTGCTAGGTGCCTGACACCAGCTGGGTGTGTTGCTAGGGGCCTGACACCAGCTGGGTGTGTGGCTAGGTGCCTGACACCAGCTGGGTGTGTTGCTAGGGGCCTGACACCAGCTGGGTGTGTTGCTAGGTGCCTGACACCAGCTGGGTGTGTTGCTAGGTGCCTGACACCAGCTGGGTGTGTTGCTAGGGGCCTGACACCAGCTGGGTGTGTTGCTAGGGACCTGACACCAGCGGGGTGTGTTGCTAGGTGCCTGACACCAGCTGGGTGTGTTGCTAGGGGCCTGACACCAGCTGGGTGTGTTGCTAGGTGCCTGACACCAGCTGCGTGTGTTGCTAGGGGCCTGACACCAGCTGGGTGTGTTGCTAGGTGCCTGAAACCAGCTGGGTGTGTTGCTAGGTGCCTGACACCAGCTGGGTGTGTTGCTAGGGGTCTGACACCAGCTGGGTGTGTTGCTAGGTGCCTGACACCAGCTGGGTGTGTTGCTAGGGGCCTGACACCAGCTGAGTGTGTTGCTAGGGGCCTGACACCAGCTGAGTGTGTTGCTAGGGGCCTGACACCAGCTGGGTGTGTTGCTAGGGGCCTGACACCAGCTGGGTGTGTTGCTAGGGGCCTGACACCAGCTGGGTGTGTTGCTAGAGACCTGACACCAGCTGAGTGTGTTGCTAGGGACCTGACACCAGCTGAGTGTGACCTTGTCACACACCCGGCCTTGTCACACACCTGGCCTTGTCACACATGGTCTTGTCACACACCTGGCCTTGTCACACACCTGGCCTTGTAACACCTGGCCTTGTCACACCTGGCCTTGTCACACACCTGGCCTTGTCACACCTGGTCTTTTCACACACTCCTGGCCTTGTCACACACCTGGCCTTGTCACACCTGGCCTTGTCACACACCTGGCCTTGTCACACCTGGCCTTGTCACACACCTGGTCTTGTCACACACCTGGCCTTGTCACACACCTGACCTTGTCACACACCCGGCCTTGTCACACATCTGACCTTGTCACACACCTGGCCTTGTCACACACCTGGCCTTGTCACACACCTGGTCTTGTCACACACCTGGTCTTGTCACACACCTGGTCTTGTCACACACCTGGTCTTGTCACACCTGGTCTTTTCACACACTCCTGGCCTTGTCACACACCTGGCCTTGTCACACCTGGCCTTGTCACACCTGGCCTTGTCACACACCTGGCCTTGTCACACCTGGTCTTTTCACACACTCCTGGCCTTGTCACACCTGGTCTTGTCACACCTGGCCTTGTCACACACCTGGTCTTGTCACACACCTGGTCTTGTCACACACCTGGTCTTGTCACACACCTGGTCTTGTCACACCTGACCTTGTCATACACCTGACCTTGTCACACACGGTCTTGTCACACCTGGTCTTGTCACACCTGGTCTTATCACACACCTGGTCTTGTCACTCACCTGGTCTTGTCACACACCTGACCTTGTCACACACCTGACCTTGTCACACACCCGGCCTTGTCACACACCTGGCCTTGTCACACACCTGACCCTGTTACATACCTGACCTTGTCACACACCCGGCCTTGTCACACACCCGGCCTTGTCACACACCTGGCCTTGTCACACACCTGACCCTGTTACATACCTGACCTTGTCACACACCCGGCCTTGTCACACACCCGGCCCTGTCTCTGGAACAGCTTCCAAAGGTGCTTAAGCGACTCTGTTCACACTAATTCTTGGACAAATTAGCATCGGATTCAATAGGCTAGAGTCTCTAGCCTATCACGAAGCAGTTACGCAAGCACCTACGAACCTGTACATCTTTCCTCAATCTTTGACGGCTTTAGTTACATTTATGAAACAGTTTACAAGCATGAAAACTTGCCAATCAACTGTTGTTATTGTTATAAACAGCCTCCTGGTGCTTCGGAGCTCATTAACTGTTTAATAATTGTAAACAAAGCCGCCAAAGATTGAGAAAAGATGGACAGGTTCGTGAGTGCTTGCGTAACTGCTTCGGGAATCTGGGCCCCCGGATAAGAATAGGTTCATGCCTTTATCTTAAGGAAAAACTAGCCTTAGACGTAATACTAAGATCTGGCTCGAACTCTTGCCCAGCTCTGAGAGGGAAACTGAGTTGTAACCAGATAGCAAGCGATCGCAGTCATGTGTGTACAGGAGATAACGGGCCGTTATCAGTTCCACAACAACGCATTATAGAGATTTAGCCGTTATACTGATAAGGTAAATGCTCTACCTGGAAATTATTGCTATGCGCCATTGCTGTACTTGTCTGTAATTATACTGACAGGGTACCACTGTACCTGGCTATAATTATACTGACAGGGTACCACTGTACCTGGCTATAATTATACTGATAGGGTACCACTGTACCTGGCTATAATTATACAGACAGGGTACCACTGTACCTGGCTATAATTATACTGACAGGGTACCACTGTACCTGGCTATAATTATACTGACAGGGTACCACTGTACCTGGCTATAATTATACAGACAGGGTACCACTGTACCTGGCTATAATTATACAGACAGGGTACCACTGTACCTGGCTATAATTTTACAGACAGGGTACCACTGTACCTGGCTATAATTATACTGACAGGGTACCACTGAACCTGGCTATAATTTTACTGACAGGGTACCACTGTACCTGGCTATAATTATACAGACAGGGTACCACTGTACCTGGCTATAATTATACAGACAGGGTACCACTGTACCTGGCTATAATTATACTGACAGGGTACCACTGTTCCTGGCTATAATTATACAGACAGGGTACCACTGTACCTGGCTATAATTATACTGACAGGGTACCACTGTACCTGGCTATAATTATACAGACAGGGTACCACTGTACCTGGCTATAATTATACAGACAGGGTACCACTGTACCTGGCTATAATTATACTGACAGGGTACCACTGTACCTGGCTATAATTATACTGACAGGGTACCACTGTACCTGGCTATAATTATACTGACAGGGTACCACTGTACCTGGCTATAATTATAGACAGGGTACCACTGTTCCTGGCTATAATTATACTGACAGGGTACCACTGTCCCTGGCTATAATTTTACTGACAGGGTACCACTGTATCTGGCTATAATTATACAGACAGGGTACCACTGAACCTGGCTATAATTTTACTGACAGGGTACCACTGTACCTGGCTATAATTATACTGACAGGGTACCACTGTATTTGGCTATAATTATACTGACAGGGTACCACTGTACCTGGCTATAATTATAGACAGGGTACCACTGTACCTGGCTATAATTATACTGACAGGAGTACCACTGTACCTGGCTATAATTATACAGACAGGGTACCACTGTCCCTGGCTATAATTATACAGACAGGGTACCACTGAACCTGGCTATAATTATACTGACAGGGTACCACTGTACCTGGCTATAATTATACAGACAGGGTACCACTGTACCTGGCTATAATTATACTGACAGGGTACCACTGTACCTGGCTATAATTATACTGACGGTACCACTGTATTTGGCTATAATTATACTGACAGGGTACCACTGTACCTGGCTATAATTATAGACAGGGTACCACTGTACCTGGCTATAATTATACTGACAGGAGTACCACTGTACCAGGCTATAATTATACAGACAGGGTACCACTGTCCCTGGCTATAATTATACAGACTGGGTACCACTGAACCTGGCTATAATTATACAGACAGGGTACCACTGTACCTGGCTATAATTATACAGACAGGGTACCATTGTACCTGGCTATAATTATAGACAGGGTACCACTGTACCTGGCTATAATTATAGACAGGGTACCACTGTACCTGGCTATAATTATACAGACAGGGTACCACTGAACCTGGCTATAATTATACAGACAGGGTACCACTGTACCTGGCTATAATTATACTGACAGGGTACCACTGTCCCTGGCTATAATTTTACTGACAGGGTACCACTGTATCTGGCTATAATTATACAGACAGGGTACCACTGAACCTGGCTATAATTTTACTGACAGGGTACCACTGTACCTGGCTATAATTATACTGACAGGGTACCACTGTATTTGGCTATAATTATACTGACAGGGTACCACTGTACCTGGCTATAATTATAGACAGGGTACCACTGTACCTGGCTATAATTATACTGACAGGAGTACCACTGTACCTGGCTATAATTATACAGACAGGGTACCACTGTCCCTGGCTATAATTATACAGACAGGGTACCACTGAACCTGGCTATAATTATACTGACAGGGTACCACTGTACCTGGCTATAATTATACAGACAGGGTACCACTGTACCTGGCTATAATTATACAGACAGGGTACCACTGTACCTGGCTATAATTATACTGACGGTACCACTGTATTTGGCTATAATTATACTGACAGGGTACCACTGTACCTGGCTATAATTATAGACAGGGTACCACTGTACCTGGCTATAATTATACTGACAGGAGTACCACTGTACCAGGCTATAATTATACAGACAGGGTACCACTGTCCCTGGCTATAATTATACAGACTGGGTACCACTGAACCTGGCTATAATTATACAGACAGGGTACCACTGTACCTGGCTATAATTATACAGACAGGGTACCACTGTACCTGGCTATAATTATAGACAGGGTACCACTGTACCTGGCTATAATTATAGACAGGGTACCACTGTACATGGCTATAATTATACTGACAGGGTACCACTGAACCTGGCTATAATTATACAGACAGGGTACCACTGTACCTGGCTATAATTATACAGACAGGGTACCACTGTAGTTGGCTATAATTATACTGACAGGGTACCACTGTACCTGGCTATAATTATAGACAGGGTACCACTGTACCTGGCTCTAATTATAGACAGGGTACCACTGTACCTGGCTATAATTATAGACAGGGTACCACTGTACCTGGCTATAATTATAGACAGGGTACCACTGTACCTGGCTATAATTATAGACAGGGTACCACTGTACCTGGCTATAATTATAGACAGGGTACCACTGTACCTGGCTATAATTATACAGACAGGGTACCACTGTACCTGGCTATAATTATACAGACAGGGTACCACTGTACCTGGCTATAATTATACTGACAGGGTACCACTGTACCTGGCTATAATTATACAGACAGGGTACCACTGTACCTGGCTATAATTATAGACAGGGTACCACTGTACCTGGCTATAATTATACTGACAGGGTACCACTGTACCTGGCTATAATTATAGACAGGGTACCACTGTACCTGGCTATAATTATAGACAGGGTACCACTGTACCTGGCTATAATTATACATACCTGTATACATACCTTATACTGCCTGTCCATGATAAAATGAATTATGTATATTCGGCACACATAACCTTCAATTTCTCCCCTTGCTCGTTACAGGATTCAAGAGACCATGGGAGACGCACACACGAGGCCTCTGGGAGCGCAGCAGAAGGCGCAGACGCTGGCCCTGGCCGACCTGCGCACTGTGAAGTGGGTGGCGTCACAGACCCTGGTGAAGGAAGCCTACAATGTAGGCAAGCCCAGATATCTGGCGCTCAAACAGGCCGCCATTGTGGGCTGGGTCGTCGTCTTCTATGAGGTAATAATTGATTGATTTATTATTTATTTATATACAAGATATCACAGTCACAGTCTATTATATCACAGTCTCCGTGGTGTAGTGGTAAGACACTGGCCTGGCGTTCCGCGAGCGCTGTCATGGGTTCGTATCCTGGCCGGGGAGGATTTACTGGGCGCAATTCCTTAACTGTAGCCTCTGTTTAACGCAACAGTAAAATGTGTACTTGATGAAAAAACGATTCTTCGCGGCAGGGGATCGTATTCCAGGGACCATAGGATTAAGGACTTGCCCGAAACGCTACGCGTACTAGTGGCTCTACAAGAATGTAACAACTCTTGTATATATCTCAAAAAAAAAAAAGAAAAAAAAAGAAGGTACATTGGGTTTATTAGAGTACAGAGACTTGATGTTTGACATTCTTGTAAAGCCACTACCATGCTTAGCGTTTCGGGCAGATTCTTAATCTAACATATACAGTAATTTTAAGTGGGTAATTTCTAGCAAAATTAAAAATGTTTATAGGTACATTGTAAGAAAATATAAAAATACATTGTAAGAAAGTACAAAATTAGATTGTAAGAAGGTATAAAAATGCATTGTAAGAAAGTATATAAAAAAATTGTATAAGAAATTTGACAAAAAAGGTAGGTACAATAAAGTGAATTTAAGGGTTATCCACAGGTACAGTTTATCATAATTTGAGGATTGTTTGCAAGATATAATGTAGCAAAGAATGTGTATAACATGATATAAGATAACAGCAATGATTACAATGGTAAAGTTGTATGGCATAGGTGTATATTTTGGGGAATTAGGTAGCACTAGATACAGTGCAAGTTTCAAGCACTATGTAGGAAACTATGAAGATGAAATTAGGTACTTTTTGGTTTTATTTTTGAATAATGCAAACATTTGACAGCTTTTCAATTCATTAGGGAGTGAGTTCCATAGACTAGGTCTCTTTATTTGCATAGTGTTTACACAGATTAAGTTTGACTCTGGGGATATCAAAGATATATTTATTTCTGGTGTGGTGATAATGGGTCCAATTACATCTGTCCAGGAAGAGTTTCAGAACATGGTTTACACTTAAGAACAGGGTTTTGTAAATGTAATTGGCATAAGAGAATGTGTGGAGTGAGATTATGTTTAGCATGTTTAGGGATTTAAACAAGAGGGCTGAGTGTTGTCTGCAAGCAGAGTTTGTTATTGTTCTGATAGCAGATTTTTGCTGGGTGATGATGGACTTAAAGGTAGTTTGCAGAGGTTGAACCCCATGCACAGATACCATATGTAAGATAGGGATAGATTAGCGCATAGTATAGTGAGAGGAGAGCAGAGTTTGGAACATAATATCTGATTATAGAGTTGAGTCGATAGGCCAAAGAACTTTCCATCATTTTTATTGTTGATGTTAACATTGTCTATCTGAAGCTGAATTGCATTTGTTGATTTGCTTCCAAAAAGATGTGGTAGGTCTTTCTTATGTTTAGTGTGAGTTTGTTGGTTGAAATCCATAAGTGGACTTTATTTAGTTCATTGTTTACAACATTATTTAGTGTGTGTGGGTTGGGGTCTGAGTAGATAAGGGTAGTATCACCAGCAAATAATATAGATGTAAGAATGTTACATCTACATTATTTTTAGACATTAGGTAGATCATTGATGTATATAAGAAATAGGAGAGGTTCTAGGATGCTCAAATGAACAAATCCACAAGGGCCGTGACGAGGATTTGAACCTGCGTCCGGGAGCATCCCAGACACTGCCTTAATCGACTGAGCTACGACAGGATTAAAAAGAGTTGAAACCGAAGTTCTACTGAACTTACTGGATCCCGTAGCCTCTCCGAGGCACAAACCAGGATTTTACACAACTCCCCCCTGCACCCGAGCTATGAAGCCGTGAACCAAACCACTAACTTAGTGATCTATCCCCCAAGCCGTGTACCAAACCACTAACTTAGTGATCTATCCCCCAAGCCGTGTACCAAAGCACTAACCAGTGACCTATCTCCCAAGCCGTGTACCAAAGCACTAACCAGTGACCTATCCCCCAAGCCGTGTACCAAAGCACTAACCAGTGACCTATCCCCCAAGCCGTGTACCAAACCACTAACCAGTGACCTATCCCCCAAGCCGTGTACCAAAGCACTAACCAGTGACCTATCCCCCAAGCCGTGTACCAAAGCACTAACTTAGTGACCTATCTCCCAAGCCGTGTACCAAACCACTAACCAGTGACCTATCCCCCAAGCCGTGTACCAAAGCACTAACCAGTGACCTATCCCCCAAGCCGTGTACCAAAGCACTAACTTAGTGACCTATCTCCCAAGCCGTGTACCAAACCACTAACCAGTGACCTATCCCCCAAGCCGTGTACCAAACCACTAACCAGTGACCTATCCTCCAAGCCGTGTACCAAAGTACTAACCAGTGACCTATCCCCCAAGCCGTGTACCAAACCACTAACCAGTGACCTATCCCCCAAGCCGTGTACCAAAGCACTAACCAGTGACCTATCTCCCAAGCCGTGTACCAAACCACTAACCAGTGACCTATCCCCCAAGCCGTGTACCAAAGCACTAACCAGTGACCTATCTTCCCCACAGATGGTGTTGGTGTGGTGGTGGACCTTCGCTCACAACCTGCCGTGGCCGGCGCCGGTGTTGGCGGGCCTCACCCAACTGGACTTGATGGTGGTCCGGCTGCTGGACTTCACCCAACAGAGGCTGGAGTGGGTTAGTGGAAAGATCAACACTAGTGTCCTGCCCTATCTTACCCTCTATGTCAACAGGATCGGGGTGAACAGGTTGTTCGGTAACAGCAAGGAGAAGTAAGGTGGCTCCACTTAGGTTGGGGTGGGCGGGCGGGCTAACGTGGATTCTACGTGGATTTTACGTGGATTATATGTTTTATTTAACATTGCTCGCGCATATATATGTGTCTGCTAGACAGGAAGGAGACTGTTAATCTGTAACACAATGGCCAAAATATATCCGAGTAACGTTAAAAAAAAGAACGTTATTGACGTTGATTCGACGTAGAATGAACGTCGTTTGCCCAACATACGCCCACTGGGCTCTAGCATGTGCTTTTGTAGGGGGTGGGGGTGGGATGGCTCGTTACGCAGGTACTAATTGTCCTACTGCAGTGGGGGTGGACGTTTGACAAACCGCTGACTTCCAGTCCCCCATGGAGGCCACTGAAGATGGTGGTCCTCGGGTAAATCCAGGCACATATGTAGTGGTGTTTGTTCTCAGTGTTGTAATCTCACGCTAAATTGTCATGTTAATCATTAGGATTTATAATGAGATGAACGTTCCCTTTATCAATTTAATTAAATGTTAATATATAATTACAGCCAATTCAAGCTTCAATTAATGTGCTACAATTAACGTAAATTACTGGTTTACAAACTGACAAGTATATATATATATATATATATATATATATATATATATATATATATATATATATATATATATATATGTATATATACGTATATATATATATACCTAGTAGCCAGAACGTCGTACTCGGCCTACTATACAAGGCCCGATTTGCCTAATAAGCCAAGTTTTCCTGAATTAATATATTTTCTCAAATTTTTTTCTTATGAAATGATAAAGCTACCCATTTCATTATGTATGAGGTCAATTTTTGTTTATTGGAGTTAAAATTAACGAAGATATATGACCGAACCTAACCAGCCCTGCCTAACCTAACCTAACCTATCTTTATAGGTTAGGTTAGGTTAGGTAGCCGAAAAAGTTAGGTTAGGTTAGGTAGTCGAAAAAAACAATTAATTCCTTAAAACTTGGCGTATTAGGCAAATCGGGCCTTGCATAGTAGGCAGAGAAGTGCATTCTGGCTACTAGGTTCGACATATATATATATATATATATATATATATATATATATATATATATATATATATATATATATATATATATATATATATATATATATACCTAGTAGCCAGAACGTCGTACTCGGCCTACTATGCAAGGCCCGATTTGCCTAATAAGCCAAGTTTTCCTGAATTAATATATTTTCTCTAATTTTTTTCTTATGAAATGATAAAGCTACCCATTTCATTATGTATGAGGTCAATTTTTGTTTATTGGAGTTAAAATTAACGAAGATATATGACCGAACCTAACCAACCCTGCCTAACCTAACCTAACCTATCTTTATAGGTTAGGTTAGGTTAGGTAGCCGAAAAAGTTAGGTTAGGTTAGGTAGTCGAAAAACAATTAATTCCTTAAAATTTGGCGTATTAGGCAAATCGGGCCTTGCATAGTAGGCCGAGAAGTGCATTCTGGCTACTAGGTTCGACACATATATATATATATATATATATATATATATATATATATATATATATATATATATATATATATATTATATATACTGCATGATAATATAATATCTGCTGTGTACTGCTTAGAAACATGTAGACTACTTCATGCCGCTAAGAACAGGGAAGATTCTCTATTCCGCCCAAGTTCATGATGGCTATAATCTAAACGGCCTATGAACTTGTAGCCTAGTCTAAACGGCCTATGAACTTGTAGCCTAGTCAAAACGACCTATGAACTTGTAGCCTAGTCTAAACGGCCTATGAACTTGTAGCCTAGTCTAAACGGCCTATGAACTTGTAGCCTAGTCTAAACGGCCTATGAACTTGTAGCCTAGTCTATACGGCCTATGAACTTGTAGCCTAGTCTAAACGGCCTATGAACTTGTAGCCTAGTCTATACGGCCTATGAACTTGTAGCCTAGTTTAAACGGCCTATGAACGTGTAGCCTAGTCTAAACGGCCTATGAACTTGTAGCCTAGTTTAAACGGCCTATGAACTTGTAGCCTAGTCTAAACGACCTATGAACTTGTAGCCTAGTTTAAACGGCCTATGAACTTGTAGCCTAGTCTAAACGGCCTATGAACATGTAGCCTAGTCTAAACGGCCTATGAACATGTAGCCTAGTCTAAACGGCCTATGAACATGTAGCCTAGTCTAAACGGCCTATGAACATGTAGCCTAGTCTAAACGGCCTATGAACATGTAGTCTAAACGGCCTATGAACTTGTAGCCTAGTCTAACGGCCTATGAACTTGTAGCCTAGTCTAAACGGCCTATGAACTTGTAGCCTAGTCTAAACGGCCTATGAACTTGTAGCCTAGTCTAAACGGCCTATGAACTTGTAGCCTAGTCTAAACGGCCTATGAACTTGTAGCCTAGTCTAAACGGCCTATGAACATGTAGCCTAGTCTAAACGGCCTATGAACATGTAGCCTAGTCTAAACGGCCTATGAACTTGTAGCCTAGTCTAAACGGCCTATGAACTTGTAGCCTAGTCTAAACGGCCTATGAACTTGTAGCCTAGTCTAAACGGCCTATGAACATGTAGCCTAGTCTAAACGGCCTATGAACATGTAGCCTAGTCTAAACGGCCTATGAACATGTAGCCTAGTCTAAACGGCCTATGAACTTGTAGCCTAGTCTAAACGGCCAATGAACTTGTAGCCTAGTCTAAACGGCCTATGAACTTGTAGCCTAGTTTAAACGGCCTATGAACATGTAGCCTAGTCTAAACGGCCTATGAACTTGTAGCCTAGTCTAAACGGCCTATGAACATGTAGCCTAGTCTAAACGGCCTATGAACATGTAGCCTAGTCTAAACGGCCTATGAACTTGTAGCCTAGTCTAAACGGCCTATGAACTTGTAGCCTAGTCTAAACGGCCTATGAACATGTAGCCTATGAACTGTAGTAGCCTAGTTGTAGCTAAACGGCCTATGAACAAAAACGGCCTATGAACTTGTAGCCTAGTCTAGGCCTAAATCTGGTAGATTTCTAAACGTCCATCTAACATAATGTATATTCAGTGTCATGAAACAGAGAAATCTGGTTTTTGTCCATCCAGAGTTTTAAGTTCTATATGTTCTTGTATATGCTTTATAAACCAAATGTTCACTATATGAATAAAACCGACGCGCTTGTTAAACCAACTGTCTTTTCATAACCGCTAAGACAAAGAGTCTATATGGAGGCTTAAGACAGGTCCACCCGTTGTTCTCTTGATCTGTCACGACGTACACAAATCGGTGTGCTAAACCGCGTGAACCCAAATAGCTCCAAAACTGCGGGATCGCCATAGCCCGTGCTACTTGGGACTTATTTTTCCGGGTGGCTAATCTTTAACAACAACAACAACAGTGAACCCAAGCCACCCACCTAACATAACCTAACCCAAGCCACCCACCTAACATAACCTAACCCAAGCCACCCACAACATAACCAAACCTAACCTAACCCTAGCCACCCACCTAACATAACCTAACCCAAGCCACCCACCTAACATAACCAAACATAACCTAACCCAAGCCACCCACCTAACATAACCAAACCCAAGCCACCCACCTAACATAACCAAACCTAACATAACCCAAGCCACCCACCTAACATAACCAAACCTAACCTAACCCAAGCCACCCACCTAACATAACCAAACCTAACATAACCCAAGCCACCCACCTAACATAACCAAACCTAACATAACCCAAGCCACCTACCTAACATAACCAAACCTAACCTAACCCAAGCCACCCACCTAACATAAACAAACCTAACCTAACCCAAGCCACCCACCTAACATAAACAAACCTAACCTAACCCAAGCCACCTACCTAACATAACCAAACCTAACCTAACCCAAGCCACCCACCTAACATAACCAAACCTAACATAACCCAAGCCACCCACCTAACATAACCAAACATAACCTAACCCAAGCCACCCACCTAACATAACCAAACCCAAGCCACCCACCTAACATAACCAAACCTAACATAACCCAAGCCACCCATCTATGCCCATATGGCATGGTTAACAATTAATACGTAAAAAAAAATTATTCTAACTTGTCAATGGCCTAAATACGCACTTCAAGGCCTAATGCAGACAATGAGTCACAATAACGCGGCTGAAGTGTTGCAACCTGCTCTCGCACAAGACAGCACATATATGACTTATTGCTTATAATCACTATTTCACTTATAAATAAGTACATATGTGACATATTCGAAGCCAGTTATGATAACCAAACCACACAACAGAAGAAGATGTAGAAAGGACGACATCTTGGTCTGTCTTGGAGCATTATCAAGTCGATTGTGATGGGAGCGTTGTTCTTGTTTTAGATTCAGCTACTCAGAACAAAAGTTCCCAGTAGCACGGGCTATGGTGAGCCCGAAGTGGACTTACCTGGCACAGGAGCGAGGCTGTGTATGTGTGGGATGGGAGCGAGATTGATTGATTGATGAAGATTAAGCCATCCAAGAGGTGGCACGGGCATGAATAGCCCGTATGTGGGAGCAAGGGAAGCTATTCATCAATCACGGGAGACATCTCCCGTCACGCAGGGTGCAGTCGCACCTCCACAGATCTCCAGTATCAGCTCTTGATACTGGTAATGGCTCAAAAGCGCCACCACTTACGGGCTATTCATGCCTGTGCCACCTTTTGGGTGGCTTAATCTTCATCAATCAATCATCTATTCATCAATCAGTCAATCTCGCTCCCATCACAGTCGACTTCATAATGTAACTCCACCGTGGTGTTGCCTTGTCGTGGTGAAGGGCTCATGTACACCTCCCTGGGACTGGTGAGGGTTGTCTTCGCTCCCCTCTCCTGCCCCTCTTTAGGTGTTGTACGTGCAGAAGGGCGCCATGTGGA